ATAAAAGTTTCCCTTGGCTATTCTTTTCAGATTATTTACTTTATTCCTTTGCTTTTTGTATTTAAATAGCTCAGAAGTATTCAGAGATCGAAATGCTTTTTCCTTAGACGTTCTCTTTTCTTTTAAAGTATGTTACGAGGGGCGTTGAAAAAGTAGCCAAACTAACTATATTCTCGTTGCCCAATGTTTGAAAAAGAAGCTTCCATTTTATTTTTGAAGGAATCATTAGCAAAGTCATATCAAAATGTCATGTGGGTAATGTGATTAACGAGATATTAGTCATCACAACATTTTGGGTATTATGTTTCTTACAAATTTGCAGAAAATGGAAAACGATCTCCCATTTGGTATCTAGTAATAGTAATAGTCCGCTTATATGGCGCTCACATCCAGGCACATTGCCTGCTCACGGCGCTACGTACATTACTATCCCCGATCATAGGACACTATCGTAGTTTCCGATACTTTTTCAACTCCCTGGGGACTGTACAGCCATGCTGCATGTTAGGCGCAATGAACTAAACATTCACATTGCCAGCACATACTCACGGTTACCCATTTTACAGTTGGGTGAACTGGAGACAGTGTAGATCTAAGTATCATGTCCAAGGATACTACGCAAATGTGCCCATCTCGGGAACCGAACCTCGGTGCCTCCTCGAAACAGGGCCTTCAGCGTGATAGGCAGACGTCTTACAACTGCACTATTGCGCTATCTCTTGGATAATGGTATACCCTCAGATAGTATCATAAAAAATATGTTCAGCATAGTATTGGATGACTTCCCGTCATCATCAACATTCAAAGATTTGGATTGCTTGATTTACATTTAGACGGGGACTGTTGTTTTAGGACACCCTCATTTTAAATTTTTCAAAACATTGTGTCCAGATATACAACATATTGAGAGCTGACACTTGTGTGACCATTCAGTATTTAGTTTGAACCCTTGACACCATGTATGAATAAGTGAAAACTTTAGGATGAGTTATATCCTTATGATGACGTCAACTGAAAGGGGGTGGGTACTGTCTCCAAAACAAGCCCTTTCAGTAAACATGAAGGGGGAGTCACTTGAACAAGCGATTATAGTTTAAAATTGCTTGTTTGTGCAGTTTAATATCTATGTTTGACTTTTACCACATACAACATGTTTTTTGCATATTTTGTTTCAATTGGTGTAGGGGGATTCCCGCCAATACAACTTGATATAAAATTGGATCAAAATCTATTAATTCTTTCCTAAGTTCGCGGCTACCACAACTGTTACACCTTCGCTGTGACCTTTAAAATGACCTCAAGGTCACTAAATTCAAGTGGTGTCGGTGAATCTTGCCAATATACCTTGGTACCAAATTTGAACAAAATCCATGATTTCTTTCTTGAGTTATCGCCCTAACAAGCTTATTTGATGTATGAAATGCAACGAAAACAAACACCCGCGTATTTACGAGTGATTAAAAACTGTTATTACAATTTACGTAAACATTTATTACATTTTACCGCAACGAAAGTTATTACAATTTACGTCAATTTTTATTACAATTTGCGTATTACAATTTACGTCAATTTTTATTACAATTTACGTCAAGTTTATTAAAATTTGCTGCAAGTATTACAATTTGCGTTTTTATTACAATTTACGTCGTAACAGGGCGCAACCCATGGCAAACAGGTTAGTTAGTTTAGTCGAGGTATTAGAGATACTAGCATTATTCAGTACTCACCATGAAGACGATATTTCTGACTCACGTTCGTCACATGCACCTCTGCCATTATGCATTTCCTTGCCGATGCCAACCTTAACATTTGTACCATAAATTACAATATGCAGCAATGAAAACACCGACTGGAACTCGAACGTTGTTGAGCATTGAAGAAGATGGCAGCTGGTAGTATGAGCAAAGGTCAAGGTCGAATGTCGTCACACTCAATAGTGACGTCATCTGTTTTGTTCTATGACGTTTCCATATTTGTGAAAAGTGTGTCGGTGACCTCCGTCGTTTGTTGTGCAGTAAATGCTTCAAAACCGACACCGCAGTTTGTTTTTATTTTATTAAAAATTCTATCCATTTTAGCTATAATAACGGACCTCGGTCTTTTCAACTGCCCTCCTTCGTCCGGCAGTTATGAAAAAATAACTTTACCCTTATATTGTCAAATACAAACTCATGGGTCAAAATTAAAATTAAAAGTGAGTGAGTGATATGATTTTACGCCGCTTTTAGCAATATTCCAGCCAGATCACGGCGGAAGACACCAGAAATGGTAGGGAATCGAACCCGGGACATCGACGCGACGAGCGAATACTTTAACCAGTAGGCTATCCCACTGCAAAAGTTAACAATAGCAACTTAGAAATTTATACGTAAAAATTCAGATTCCAATTTCCACTTAAGTTCAAAACCATCTAATAGAGTGCCCCACGACTGCTTACACAGGAGAGTAATAGATTCCCGCCCGATGACTATTGTTGAAACACAGTGTCATGCACTGCTACTTAATCTAAACAGAAACGGTGTAATCCGATCACAATATTGTTTAACAATACTCAACGCGGGTGTCGTATACCAACTGAGTCTGGTATTGTGGTATCAGGTTAATTGTTTCTGCGGCGTATCAAGGGTGACGTGAAAACAACTGGGTGGCCCCAGGAGGATTAGAAGCATTGTTACCAGAGAGTAAGTAACTTCCAACGACTTTCACATCGAGCCCATTTCCGTCTGTTGACTCCAGAACATCAAACCTGACGGTTGTTGCTTCGTCTGATGTTTAATGCATCACTTTCGTGCATTATATTATGGATGAGATCGATAGTGCAAAAGACATGTTCTTTTAATTATTTTTTTCTTAATATCTGATTTTCCTGATCTTCATTTATAGATGTATGTGATATTATCTGCGATATAGACCAACCGTGCGACAAAGTGCAGTTTCGCGATGTACATGAAGGATGTGATGTTATACGTCATATAACCATCCCTCCCACAAAATGCAGTTTTTCGTTTTACATGAAGGATGTGAGTGAGTATAATGTTTACACAGCTTTTAGCAATATTCCAGCAATATCACGCCGGGGAACACCAGAAAGGGGCTTCACACATATTGTGCCCATATGGAGAATCGAACCCGGGGTTTCAGCGTAACGAGCAGTCGCTTTAACCATTAGGCTACCCCGCCGCCCACATGGAGGATGTAATGTTATACGTTATATAACCAACCCTCCCACAAATGCAGTTCTCAGTTTTTCACAGTATAATGTTTTGTTATATATGATACCGTATAGTCTTGCTGACTGTAGGGCAGGACATGTCTACCATTTTCGCGAACACTCGGTGTCGCAATCGATTTTCAGTGATCCTTTCATGTATTTTTCACAGATATTTTTCCTTTTTAACTAAAGGGCATTTCCTTCGGCTAAAAATCAATAATGCTTATTCTGAAATGCCGAAGGAAAATGACACATAAAAACGCTTTCATTTAAATCCGGAAAGTCCATTAAGCACCATTCAGTTATCTATATAGCCATAGAAAATAGCCAGTTTCTACAAGTCCTACCTTGTCTTAATTATCCAACAGAACGCAAATAGCCCTGATTATGAGAAAAAGAAACTTGATTTTGTCGAACCAATTAACTGATGATTATGTTCACAGGCTTTACAACAACACACGTGCTCGTGCTTTTCTCCAAGCTAACACACGTTAAAAACTACATTACCACGATATCCTGACAATATTCACTCAATAACCACTCATTCACTCATAAGTTGCATTCAAAGATAACGAAACATCTGAAATGTGACCAAATGAAGTAGAGACGAACCATGCATTCCGAGTGTATCTTATAGGACAATTGTCAGGAGGCCTATCTATAGTAGCATTGAATAAGATAAATGACAATAGTTGTATTCAACCTTTGAATAATCGCTCCATTTCGATTATTTCCCGTCTGTATGAGCCAGCTAATTAATGTTAGTGAGACTGACGCCTCTATCAACAATCATTCTGTCATTACAGATAGACATTCCACTACACCACCTCAAGACATCAAACACATGTGGCGACACACCCACTAACGCGGGGACGTGAAGACTTCTATACTTCAAACCTGCCACCAATGCATTGTGAGGGGATTACAAACCCAGCAGACAATGTTGTTCTGATAATGATGTTCAACGGTGTTTGTCACGATACATATAAGCACAGGTTTTCATCAGCTCGTGGGGCGGTGGGGCAGCCAAATGGTTACAGTGTCCGCTCGTCACGCTGAAGACCCGGGTTCGATTCCCACATGGGTGCAAGGAGGACGGCCATTTTGGTGCCCCCGCCGTATATTGCAGGAATATTGCTAAAAGCGGCGTAAAACCAAACTCACTCACTCACTCACTCACTCAAACACCTCGTGCACATCGCACCCATGCCTCCTGTCCGTGTGAATCTTGTCCTGCAAGGGTTACCATTCATTGCGTACCAGGTTATTTAGGTTATTTGTTAACTGGACAATTTGGTGAGATCACTAATATATCACCTACAAACTTAGTTTTCTTTAATACACTTGAATAACACGACATACCATGTGAACTCGCTATTCATGATGTTACTGAGTATATTGCTATTTGTATAACTAAATATCATAACCAAATTTTGTAACTGAATATAAACTTAAAAGTTAAACTAAATGTATGGGAAAATATATCAGTTCATATTGCAACATCATCTATAACTAAACAATCTCTCAACGAATTGATGATGATATTAACGCTTAAGGTAAATACGTGTTTGTGAAATGAAATACGGTTTTCTGTTTGTATTTGTATCACTGACATCGATCTGCATCTCTGGAAAACAATACAGAGATCAGGTTCCTTGGGAATATTGATCTGCACCGCTGGAACACAACCTATGGATCAGAACTTCCGAACATATCGATCTCCAGTGATAAATGTCATGCGCCATGAGCCTGACACATGTAATAAATTAGTGGTATTGGTTTTCACAGGTATCACTTCGCCAGGACAGCATGGATATAAGGGGTGTTCACACATGTTGGATAATACTGGTTCTAGTTGGCAAATGTGAGTATTACCATCAATGTCTAAACTTCACTCTTTTTGTATATATATTTGGTTGAAGTAATATTAATTGTTCAAAGCTTGAGTGAAGGTTTTGAAGTTATAGCTTTGTCAAACTAGGCAATATTTATCGAATTGTCCTTTTATTACCTGAGAGAATAATATGCAATTTGGTTTCGTTAAAAAGTTCTTTGGATATTTCCGGATTTGATTTGATAAGTTACCCAAATATATATTCTCCGCACTCTTCCGGAATACATTGTTCAGGTCAACAACATCGTGTTCCTTTGATCCTATACCAACATGAGTACTAAAATCCTGTTCAGATGCGTTTCTTTTGATGATCACTAAGATCATAGACTGCTCACTTGTGAACCACGAAGTTCCAGTGTCACTCAAGGAAGCATTGATAACACCTTTACTGAAGAAACCACAACTGGACTCGGACTGTCTCAAAAACTACAGGCTTGTCTCTAACCTGACCTTCTTATCAAAAGTGATGGAACGTGTGGCATCTTGCCTTCAGGCACACATGCAAAAAAACAGTCTTGGCGGACCCCTTCACTCTGCTTACAAGTTAGTCTACAGCACGGAAACTGCCCAACTGCGAGTACAGAACGATATTCTTTGTTCTGTGGACTCCATGGGCGCTGCTGTGTTGGTACTTTTCGATCTCTCTGCTGCATTTGACACGATAGATCACGAAATCCTGTTGACCCGTCTGGAAGATTGTGTCGGTGTTACAGGTAATGCCCTCAAGCGGATTAGGGCCTACCTAACAGGACGCTTCCAGACTGTGACCGTCGAAGGAGCACGGTCACAGAAGCAGGAACTGGCATTTGGCGTACCCCAAGGATAAGTGTTGGGCCAATCCTTTTCGAAATCTATACCTCCCCTCTTGGCACAATTGCTAGGCAACACAAGCTAAGTTTCCACCTATACGCTGATGATACACAGAAATACCTGGGACTCAGACCACTCTCAACACCGTCTGTCGAGAGTACATTCCAAGCCATCAGCAACTGCATCGCTGATATTCGTCATTGTATGAGGATCAACTACTTTCAAGCTCAGCGACAATAAAACGGAGTTACTCATCATCAGACCCATCACAGTACCAGAGCTAAGGATAGGTGATAACCTGATTGTGCCGAGAGCGTGTGCTAGAAATCTCGGAGTCCTTTTTGACTCAGAACTGACCCTTGAGAATCATGTCAACATGGTGTGTAAAACAGCTTACTGCCACATCAGGAACATAGGTCAAATATCTCGATACATGAACCAGAAAGATGTTAAATCCCTTCTTCATGCCTTTGCAACATCCACTATTAATTACTGCAACAGCCTTTTGTTGGATGCAGAGGCAGCATTTTGGACAAGCTTCAGCGAGGAAAAAACTCAGAGTGATTACCCACACAAAGAAGTACGAGCATATAAAACCTGTACTCAAGGAACTACACTGGCTACCAATCAGGGAGAGGATTGAATTCAACCTCCTATTGTTTGTCTTCAAAGCGCTAAATGACCTTGCTCCAGAATACATCCAGGAGCTCATCACCCCCTAAATGACAATTCCAACATCACAAGTTTCAGATCTGAACTGAAAACCCTCATGTTCAAGAGAACATACAACTAAGCGCCTTTGAGCAGTTTTCTGGATCAAGGCGCTATAGAAATGCCTAACTAATTATTAATATTATCTATTATTGCGCTCACAAATAGTCAAACATGATGTTTATAAATATTTATACAGCAGGAACAAAGTTAGGCGCCTTTGTATGCTTGGACATGAGGTATGAGAATGTGAGCTGGTCCGAGATGAATGGCACGGAAAGCAGAATGTATTATTTCCTGAAAGTGTAATCCTTTGTCGACAACGGACAAAAGTCGTCCCAAGTTAGAAAACGGTATTCGTAATATTGGCGGACATTGTATGTATTATTGACATTGGTACGTGACTGAGCTGCCTTGGCAACCGGGACTTCTTAACTTGTTAAAATATCAGTTATTCGTCCAGTGAAACGTCCGATGCGTTCCTGAGTTACATGTGGACATTCTTCTGGAGGGTCTCACTTCTGTAGACTGCAAACACGTCCTATAATGTAACATATCTTATATTTGGGACTACACTTTCTCAGTAAAGTATAGGTTCTATTACTTTGTTGGTAGAGTGCCATCCGGGATTCGAACCCACACCCTCACACTTTGTGTGCTGGTGATTAGGCGCCTGACTTTGAGGGTGCGGGTTCGAATCCCGGATGGGACTCAACCCAACAAAGGTACTAGAATCTGTACTTTACTTCAGTGTAATCCCAAATATAACATACGTAACATTTGACCACTTTCTAAATGGCACTGTGTATTCACGTCCTATACATGTTCTAGCGGGCTGTGTGTAACGGGATCGGTCGGTCAGGCTCGCGTAGATCGATGCTCATGCTGTTGATCACTGGATTGTCTGGTCCAGACACGATTATTTACCGCCCGCCACCATATAGCTGGAGACCGCCTACGTGATGTAGTGGTTAGAGCGTCCGCGCGAAGAGAGGAAGGTCGCGGTTTCGATCCCCGACCGCGTCATATCAAAAGACGTTAAAATATGATACTTGTTGGTCCCTGCCTGGCGCTCGGCATTAATGGGTGGTGGGCTCGGAGTCAGAATAATGTTTCTGAGTGGGGTATTCATGCTTCACTGCGGCATGGTATCTCAGTGAGCTAGCACTATAAAACCAGCTTAAGTCTGGGCTAGTACAAGCAGCCGCACATACACATACACACGCATGCACGTCGTCATATGAGCGAAATATTCTCAAGTACGACGTTAAACCCAATTTCACCTCACCTCACCTCACTGTAGCCTCTGAAAGAATTCGACACCTGATCTCAAACTTTCGTGACCTAAAACCTGATGGAGTCGATTATCTATGACCTTGATGACAATTATCTGTGGAACAGCCAGTTCTCCCCCGGGAATGTACTCTTCACAAAGGGTCATTACCTAATGAAGCGAATAATTAAAAATTGTGCATCGTGTCGTCTGATTTGTAACAAGGGCGAGAGGTTTGTTGCAAATACTTTGCACGTCATAACCACAAGGAAACATTTAAAGGGCATTTCAACTGTTCGTGTCCTCACCAAACTGACTTTGCCAGTTACAATATTCAGCGGACAAATGAACAGGTGTTATAGATTCAGTACTACGAACGTGGCAGTACTGGTATATTTAAGACATTCACTCTGATGCCAATTCTACAATGAACGCCATAGATACTTAATGAGGTTGTCAAAAGGAGGTCAGCAGATCAATATGACAGAGCCTTGCTACCTATAAAATACTGAGGTGTTAGCAGAGAAGAGAGACGGACGGCAGAATAAAACAGGCAACATCACAGCAACATATAGTGAGAGACAGAGCTGGAGTCATTGTACTTCCTATGATAAACCTGAACAACTAAAACATGTTGTTTCCCTGTGGACTGTATGTGGGCGAACGAAGCCTCGAGAAGAGATGCCTCGACTCAATGGTCCGCAGCGAAACACCTTAACTGACCGCCAAATAATACAACGTAACAGAACGGCCAAATAATAGCGCTCAGCCCCCTTTTTCAGACTATGGAATAATCCAATATCAGAAGCCACACATTTACGTGAATTGCATAATTAATACAGGAGAATATGGATCAGACAGTGTAGAACTGCCTACGAGAAGTAGGCCTTCGCGCCATCATTCCAGTGTCATCTTCAATACTGCCGGGCGCTTGGATTATGACCCCAACATCGATGGAGACGCGTCTGTTTACGAGTCGAGATTATTGTTGCTTCGTCATGGTGGAGAACGTTAAAGGTCACATGCAACCAAAAAATCAAACATAATTAAAACAAAATTATCACTTATTCATGACATATAATATACATTGTTGGTTATGAAAAAACATATAAAGAAAATTATAAGCGTACAATCGCAAATCAAAAGTGCAATATTGTGTACTTGGGTTTACTTCTCAAGAAACGAAGGAGCCGGGATACCGAACCCAGTCAGAGCGGGTGGGTGTGCACTCAAGTGTAACGGCTGGTTCATTTGCAGATGCCCTCACGGCTCATTGTGTGTGTATATATAGAGATGTTGGGTTTTGTAAATACATGCTCATTTTGTGTGTATAACAGAAAATTTGAAAGCCCTAACTCATACACAACTTGACTTATACTCCTTTTACTCCATGCTGTATCTCTGGCATTTGAGTGTTAATTTTGGGCATGAATTAATTTCAAACACAATTCTAATTTGTCTATAACTCCATAACCAGGTGGAAATTGACAAAAACATCAAGTGTTCCTCTTTTGTTATTGCATGTGCTATCAAAGGACACTGGTTTCAGTCCATTAAAGCATTTTTTTCATTTGTTTCTCTATTTTTATATACATACATGAATTTTATACTAAAATAATTCCATTAAAAGTTCATATTTTCAACAAAAATGAAAATTGAAACTGTTAAATTTTTATTCATTAGAAAGCCCTATCTTTCCTCGTTAAATTGATTGGCTGCACAAGTAGATGTGTACAGCCAATCAAGTGCAACGAGTCACCAAGCATGTCCACTCTCACCTGACACCTGGCCAATACGCGACAAAGTGTCAGTAGGTGCGTATGGCTCAACTGCGATTTACACCAGTGGCACAAGACATGTGTATGTCTTGAGTTTCCAATACATTTTCTAATACATATACCTGCTTGTCAGTGCCAGTGACAACACACAGAGATGGGATATATAAGTACATGCTATGCTCAGAGTTCATTAGTTCTATTCGACACAATCACGATGAAAGGCGACCGCAAGAGAATCAAGTCACAGTTCAGCAAAGGCCATACTCCCTGGAACAAAGGTCTCACCCTTGAATCGGAAGAGTCGGAAAGTGCCTCTCCACCCCAGATACCCAGGACAGTCACTAGGTTGAGTGCAGAAGACTTCTCCCTGGTCACCAAGTCAAGGCTGGATGGCACTG